CTTCTCGGTGATTTCAATACCCATAATGAGCTTTGGTTGGGCTCAAATAAGACCGATGCAGCAGGTCGTGCAAAATGTCTAGAGTGCCTAGAATTCGCTGGGTGTCCCAGCTAAGTGACTTTGGTCGAATTGTCGGGTTGCGTGAAACCGGTCTATCGATAAGAGAAGTTTCTAGGAGGACCAATAAATCCTTACGGAGTATACTGCAGTGTGAACGAGCGTGGAGTCAGGAAGGCCAAGGACAGCGAGCGAGTGGTTGTGGACGTCCCAGCGGGACCATAGAGCGACAAGAGAGAGACAGATTCAGTAGTACTCGAGCCATCGCTAATCGGTGGTTTGAAGAGCATCTAAGGATGTTTGGCATGCGTACTAGTCCAGTTAAATAGCCGAAACTAAGACAAAAGTGATAACACAGCCACAAAGTTATGTCCGTTGGCGTAATGGTGTTATAAAGGATTGCGAATATTGTTGTATGAATTTGGTTTTCCGGAAACCAGCCGTTTTTTGTAAAACAGCGAAAAACCCAAAAAACCTCTTTTTCGCTGAAACGGCTGAGGATATCTGGGATTTTTTTACACTGATATTTTTCTAATTTTTGGGTAATCAAAAAAGGTATCTGCAAATTTTTTGCTAAATTGCTTAGTTTTCGCGCTACAGCTTGCTGATGACTTGATGGCGAGGGGTTTGCGGGGACAGGGACGCGCGTACACATATCATCAGCTGCCGCACCGTTGAAGGGAACGATTCTCTTTTATTTCGGCGTCCTCAGTGTCTCACTCTCGGTGATAGGCCAGTCGATTTCGAATAATAAGCTCGTTTGTAGTTGTGGCGTTCACCGACTTATGCATATTAATGAATTTTTGAAATTTATGCGTTTAAGTAGAGTTCCAGATGCAGCAATTTGTTACTTTACATTTCATACATAAGGTGTACAAAAACCCTCACTTGAGCCAATGAAACCTACAATAGCATGTAAGTGGAATTGAAAGTATATACAGCTCAATGTTATATCCACCCCAATCTATTACAACTAGGATAAATCATTGAAGATCAAAGTCATTAAAGTCGTAGCCGACGTCATCTTCGTTAATTTCGTCGTCGTCGGTCGTTGCATCTTGGCCGCTTGATGAGGTCTCATAATCTTCTGTTAAGTCATCATTATCGGGTTCTACGGTAGTTTGCCCACCGTCCTCCTGACATGCATCTGTAGTCGTCGGAGTTTCGCTCTCATGGTGTTCTGTAGCAGTCCATCTCTTTGAGTTGTTGCGCGATTTTCCGCGGCATACTTTGCAAGCAGAGCTGCACTTTAGACCGGTTTTTCGGCAGTTGCATCGCTTCGATTTGCAGGGCCCTCGGCATCCACAGGAAGCCTGAAAAAAGGTTATTATAAGAATTATTATAATGTAAATATCAGTTGTCTTGTAAGGGAGATCAATGACAGGCCTTTTATAGTACTCCATAGATCAGTCTAAAAATTTGTTATTTTGACTTTAAACTGGATCTCACATTTTTCAAAAATTATTTTAATTCCGATCAGACAGTACATGAGATCAAAAGTGTGGTAAAAAATTAGTTACAGCAAGTTGTATTTAGTGCTTCAAATTGAATACATTTTACACATACCTCTTGTAACAGTTCATTTGGTGCGGGATCTGCTTCAGACATGATCGGAATGAGAATATTACCCTGTCTTGTCCATCCTCACAAGCAGGGATCCAATCTGTGTTGCAGCCACACCTGGATTTACAGTGCTGAAGCAAGGCAGGAGATTTTGGGGAGACATTCTAGGGGCGTTTTCTTTTTGCCTTTGCTAAGTTTGTAGAAAACAAATTGTATCTGAAAGTCCCGAGAGAAGTAATAGTCTCTGCACATTGCAGCAATTCGTCTTCCAAGCGGTCCGGCTTGTAAAACTTCAGCGCCAGGTTTCTAATGCTGTCGTTCTGCATCAGCAACTTCAACAGCTTCATCTTCCCTTTCCCAAAAAAGCAGCTAGTAGTGCTGCAGCCCGCAAACGCATGAGCGAAAAGTAGAAATGTTTGTGATCCCGTGTATCGTACAATTGGTTCGCCTTGCCCTCTGGCCCATCTTGTAATAGTACATGCTCTCTGAGGCTGGAGTGAGTCCAATAAGTAATATTAAGAGATCAACATCCGGGCCGACGACTATAACTCGTGATTTCCCGTGACGAAACAGTTCGTTAAGAGTCTTCAGAGCTGCTCTCACAATCTCAACATCCGCATCCTTTTTCGCATGGATCACTGTAAAACTGAATTCCTCATATGTTGCAAGAGTTTGACCAAGATGATAAACAAATTGAGCCTTGTTTTTCACGTTGGACAAAAATTTCCTTTGGTTCAATGGGAGGAGATTGTCTGGTTCAATTTCAACGTCCACGCTACAATGTCTTTCTTGTCTACAGTCTCGCGCGTATGATTTGACACCTATATGTTCATCTTCATATCCGTCGAAAACAATAATGACGCTCCGACCAAACCGCTTATCAAGGAAGTTCTTGTACATATCAAAGATTGCACGGTATATCTTACTATGAGGCCAAACGAGGCTTTGAAGCAACCATCCTCCGCCTACATCAAACTGAGAATCTTCAAATAATGCTCGCGAGGATAGGGTAGTAGTGAACATTTTATATAACTGTGACTTGTTTGTCTTTCGCATTGATCCTTTCCCGTCGAACAAACTAAAAGCTTTCGCACACTACGTCGTATCGTAATCGTACCGTAATACGCGCGTAGGACGAGAGCAAAACGAGCTCGTATGTGTGCTAACCAGTCCGCACACGAAGCGGTGTTGGAGCGAAGCGTATGAGATGTTCAGTCGTATTACGATAGTCGTGGCGGTCTTATTATCATCTTCTGAAAGCTGAAGTGCAGCAATAAGCAATCTTTTCTTCTTATTACTTGCGATGTATGGATGAATCCAATGAGCACGTTGCCTTCTACTTCTACCATAATCAAACAATAAAAAAATCCTCTTGGTCTGAAGAAAATGTAAAATCATCAATGGATACACCAGAAACATATGGTACCGTTGACGCCATGATTTCAACTGAGATCCTACAAAGCGATACGAGTACGTGACGATGCGTGTGTGGGACACTGGAGGTCTCGTAAGCGTTGCGTCGTAACGATATGCTTACCAAACGATTACGTTTACGATGCGTGTGCGAAGGCCCTAAGTGGAACAGGAGACATTTCGTAGTCGAAGGAAGATTTACTCAACTCTTTTCTTCCACGTTTAGCCACAGACAGACGTTGAAATAATAGAGACACTGGCGCTCCCACGGGGGGGGGGGGTAAAGGAGGTAATTACCCTCTCCCCCCCCCCCCCCGCTAGATGACTCGAGCAGTCTTTGAAACTTTGAAAAGGTGGTATAAAGTAAACGTCTTATAAAAAAATCTGCAACTTTAAGAAAGGATAACGGCAACACTGCCAACCCGCTCAGTGCGCATGCGACTAGCGGCTACTCTCCCACCAACAGCAACGGTGTGCGCTTCTTCCTGTTCTAACAGGTATAGTCTAGTCTTTTATGATCTAGTCTAGTGTCTAAATTCTGTACCAGTCCGGAGTCCGCAACAAAATTTTTCTGAGAATTGAACAAGCGGAGTTTTGTTGATCTGGTTCGTATTAACGCTATTTTCTATGTTCTATTGATTTTTTATTTTCCACGCATAAGCCAGAAAACTAATTTTTGGTTGTTTTTAATTTTTATACTATAAATAAAAGAATCGTGTCTAAAAAATGAGAGACGGAAAAATGGAAATTTAATATAATTTCAATTACGAGATGTTTGGTCCATACTCCAGCTATCATTATCATCTATGTCTATTTTGTCTCGGAAGTCCCTGTATCTAAGCACTTCAGTGCATTTCGTTCGTCCGAGATGACAAATTACATATTTAGTTTTTTGAAATTGCGTGAACTTAAGAAATCTTGTTTTCCAAACAGAAAAGCTTCTTTGTTATAAGATACGTGAATGCGTGGAAACCAATAATGCCGTTTATTTGACAATATTTGTGTAACTTTTAGTGCTGGTTGACGGCTGCTGTTAGGATGAATAAAAGGAAACAGAATACCATCGGTTGGTTCCTTTCTAAACAAAACAAACTGTCTGATCCACCGGCACAAGAATTACCGGAAAAAACTGATCATAATCCTACAATTCTACCTGAGCCTCTTCCACTTCAAAATTTCTTGATGTTGTACCGTATACTAAACCAAGTGGGTGTGAAACCTAAAGGATCCAATTTTGTTGAAGTTGCGCCATATGTAAATTTCAGCGGCAACTTGTCTTCCCATGAAAAATATACCTTATTGAGGTATGCAATTATCCCTAATGACTCTTTCAAATATCCCTATTCTACACACTTGAAAAATGATAAAGAAGTGAAATGTTACCTACATAAATCAACTGAATTGGGAAAACTTGTTACAGTACCACTAAAGAGATTTTCGAAATTGTATGGCAAAACCGGTGATTGTGAGACACATGAGAACTCAATATATCATACAGAAGCAGTTTCAGATGCTACAAACTTTTTAAAGATTTACGAAAATCCAGATAATGACATAAGAAATATAATAGGTTCAGAGCGAATTAAGCAAGTATTAGAAAATCGGTAAAGATTGACTCCTATAATAGAATCTATAATTTTTTTAGGACTACTACATACTATTTAGAGGGCATAGAGATAGAAGACGACTTTTTTCCAATGACATCACGAATGACCAGAATGACCTTAATAATGAAGGGGATTTTAGAGAACTAATACGGTTTAGAGTCGAGAGCGGCGACAATTTATTGAAAAAAAAACTTAGAGAACTCAAAAGCGCATGCTACGTACATAAGCAGCCGCATCCAAAATGAAATTATAGAATGTTGTGGCGAAGAAATCTTGGATATAGTTTTAAGTCGCGTCAGGAAAAGTCAGTATTACAGTATTACATTTGACGAAACTACAGACATTAGCCATAAATCACAAATGTCAATCGTATTGCGGTATTGTTATCAAACACATATTTACAAGGACTTCATGGGATTTGTGGATTGCTACTCAAATTTTGATGAAGATAGAATGGAGTCCAAACTCACAGGTCAAATTCTTGCTCAATCAGTCAACCATTTCATTAAAACCAATAAATTAGACTCAAAACTATGTGTGGGCATTGGTACTGATACATGTAACCTAATGTTAGGTGAACAAAGGGCGCTGTAATAGAATTGCCAAATGCCCTAAAAAGCCCATGCGCAAATCATGCCTTGAATCTTTCGACTTGTATGTGCCCCTCTGTGAAAGTTGATGGGTCTGCTGACACATTAAAAACATGATGACTTTTGAAGCATACACGTATATCTTTTCCCCCCATTATACTGCACTCAACTTCCTCACCGCAACGTTTTTAATGTGATCTGCTACAGTCCTTCTATCTATAGAGTCATCATTCACTAACTTCGACAAATAATGAATAACATTTTTGTCCTACTCAAGAACTTGCCACACAGGTTCTTGCAATGAATCGATTCTAGACCAGTTTAGATCTTCGATATTTTTTTTAAACCATGCGCATTGAAATGAGACATGCATGTCCGGTGATATCTGCCTTGTACCCGAATTAAGTAAATGTTTTGTAATCTTTCAACAACGCTAATTCCCAAAGAGTCATTTCTTCACAAATGAAGCAATTATCTGCGTAATTGAAATCAGGAACCTCATCACTTGCAGCTACGATATTGTTATCGGGTGCATTCAACGCAAAATTCTGAGTATACTTTCCACTGACCGAGTATGAAAGTCTACACTTCTCATGGCGATCCAGTTTTTCTTTTTTCTCCCAATCCAACCATTTTTTGTCTTCCAAGCGTTTGCTCTGTGTGATTCCCTTCTTCCCCACGGTCCTGCAATTGCCGCGCGCTAACGGATAACTGCCAATGGCGCAGTAACTATTTTGCTGCATTTTATTCCTATTGAATAACAGAAACAATTTCGGTGAGAATCGGTTTCCAGTAAGTGTAATGCAATTTTCGATCCAGTCAGTCTAAAATGTGTGATTTTTATTATTAATACCAGAACATAGTGCTAATGGAATTCGAAAACATGGTGAATTTTGGACAAGATATACTGAATTTGGACTGTACTATTTATTACTAAAAAATACAATACTAACATTGGAAAATGAAAACCAATTCCGTTGAAAAATCCATCGTGGATAACTTAAATCACTTATCCAGTCAATCGACAAGCAATTGAAGAGAAATTACTCCACATACTAAACGCATAAACTTCGAAAATTAGTTTTTTCGGAAAAGTCGGTGAACGCCAAACTGTCAAGCGAGCTCAGGGTTCGAAATTCAACTGGACTATTAGTCAATAACCCCCACTATATAGTAAGAGATCGTCTGCGTCGTCAACACGTGGGCGGTGCGACGGCAGGTTGGTGGTATGCAGGTACGCCGCCCCTGTCCCCTCAAACCCCTTGCCAACAAGCCATCAGCAAGCTGTAGCGCGAAAACTATGCAATTTAGCAAAAAAAATGCGGAGACCTTTTTTGATGGCCTAAAAATTAGAAAAATTTAAGTGTAAAAAAATCCCAGATCTCGTCAGCCGTTTCTGCGAAAAAGAGGTTTTTTGGGTTTTTCGCTGTTTTACAAAAAACGGCTGGTTTCCGGAAAACCAAATTGATACAACAATATTCGCAATCCTTTATAACACCAGTACGCCAACGGACATAACTTTGTGGCTGTGTTATCACTTTTGTCTCAGTTTCGGCTATTTAACTGGCCTATACGGTATATCGCCGAATAAGACATTATGCCGATTTTTTTTTTGATGTTAACTTAGCACTTAGTTGTACATGTTGCCTAAACGTCGTGAGACTTTAGTTATCAATGTTTGACTATGATTTTATATAAAATCTGCCGAGAGATTGCATTACTGGATGTCTAAGCTGTAAGTTGTATGTGTTGATGAGAATTCCATTGGATTCTTGTCTCAAATACACTTTCAAAACTAGAAATTAATTGCGCAGCCACTTTTTATTATACATTCTGGAAATTACATATACAAATTTGCTGAATTTCAAAAATGAGAGAGATCAGAAATAATTATATTCACTGTACACTGTTGAACTACAAGCCATATACATGCTAACAGTAATTACACACAACGCGGGCGCGGTGATGATTTCCCGTAATTCTCCTCAGTTTTTCGAAATTTATAACTTTGAACATAACCTCTCTTCAGAAAGCACAACATATAAATAACCCGTCATATTCAACATATTCAGTAATGATATTCTCACACAGCAAATATCACTGATTTTATACACATGCAGACCAATACACAATCATCCAGATGCGATCTAGCTATTCAACCAACTTTCTTCTCAGAGATAAAAACTACAGGCACGGATCACTCAGACTCACAAAACTGTGCAACCTATAATACGTGTAGTTTAGTTGAGTGATTCCTTCATAGGTGGACGTTCAAAACGATCCTAGTGAGCAAACGTGGAATGACTGTTTGCGCCATAAAAACTATCTAGTCTGCAAGTTGACATCTTGTAGGTTTTTTACATGATACCGGTGCGGGAATGAGATCAGGCGGTCTTTAGTGACGAATCCCCGCTTCTGTCTGGGGATCCACGATGGTCGGGCAAGAGTGAGAAGGCGACGTGGTGAAAAACGTGACCCACATTTGACAGAGAGCGTCACGTTCACCACACCGTGGACGTTATGGTATGGGGTGCTATTGCTTATGGTAGCAAATCATCACTAAATTTTCAGCATGACAATGCCATACCGCATGTTGCCAGAGCATCGTTAGCCTTCATGGATCAACATCGCATCAACCGTTTACCTTGACCACCACGATCGCCTGACCTATCTCCAATTGAACGTGTCTGGGACATAATAGGTCGTAGGCTCTTGAATTTGCAACACCCTCCACAGACTTTAGCAGCTCTTACATACGAAGTTGCAGTAGCCTGGAATGAGATACCCCAACAGGATATCGACCACCTTATCAGCACGATGACCAGGCGTGTCAATGAGTGTATAAGAAATCGTGGATCCTCAACACATTATTGAACCAGCTTCTGCAGTCAATTGGCGAATCAAGCTGAAAATTTAATCATTGTACTAGTAAGGGAGTACTGAGCATACAGGGTTTGTCTGGAAAGTAATAGGACTGAGTCGATTTAAAAAAAAATATTGAGCCAATCGTTACAATTCTTTAAAAACTTTCAAGATAGGCTCCTTTTGCGTCGATGCAGCGCTGACAGCGCGATTTCCAAGCATTGAAGGCGTCACGAAAAGCATTCTCCGGAATAGCCTCTGTCGTCTCAAAATGCTTGCCTTTCATCGGACTTTTCAGGCGAGGGAACAAAAAAAGTCCGAGGGGGCCACATCTGGGCTGTAGGGCGGCTGCGGAAGCGTTGGGATGCCGGCCTTGGTCAGGTAGCTGGTCACAAAAAAGGCGGTGTGAGCCGGGGCGTTGTCGTGGTGCAACTTCCAGTCGGCTGCGATGTCTTGTCGGACCCGACTGACCCTTCGTTTGAGTCTCCTGAGCACTTCCACGTAAAACTTGGCGTTGACGGTTTGTCTAGGAGGAGGAACAAATTCATGGTGGACGATGTCTTTGATGTCAAAAAAGACAATGAGCATCGTTTTCACTTTGGATTTGCTCATTCTTCCCTTTTTTGGGCGAGGAGACGCCGTCGTGTGCCACTCGGAAGATTGCCTCTTTGTCTCGGGATCATACTCAAGATCCACGACTCGTCACCTGTGATTACGTTATCAAAAAATTGGGGGTCACTTTCACACATGTTCAAATTTTCTTGACGCACTTCCATTCGCCGCAATTTCTGGTCGTCAGTGAGCACTTTTGGGACCATCTTCGCGCACACCTTGCGCATGTTGAAATGCTGTGTCACAATGTCATAAACCACAGATTTTGGTAAATTTAACTTCTTGGCAATTAAACGAATACTTAGTCGACGGTCTGAGTTCAAAACTTTGCGCACACGAGACACATTATCGGTGTTTGTCGAAGTCGAAGGTCTACCAGCACGGTCTTCATCAGCGACCTCTTCCCGGCCCTCCAAAAAGGCCTGGCGCCACCGATACACACCACTTCTTGCTAAAGCAACACCTGGGTAAGCCTGCTTGATCATATCAAACGTCTCTGTCGTTAGATTTACCGAGTTTCACACAGAATTTAATCGTGTACCTCTGCTCTAACGAACGCTGCATTTTTGGCTTGCACCATTCACAGAAACACGTCGCGCGAAAATGCCTGTCCTGACTCTCCAAGTGCTCTGAGACAACTGAACAGCCGCTCATTCGTTAGCTATGAACGCCCTCTACCGAATCCAGTCGGTGCGCGCACGCTCCGAAGTACAGTCATGCCGGAAAAAAATGAGTCCTATTACTTTCCGGACAAACCCTGTATATTCCAAAAATTATTAGAATCTGATAAATATACGTAGGTGTTCACCTTTTTTTTGTCACTCATTATAGTTCATGCAGTTTGTTCTCTGAATTTTAAAGGAGACGTTTGGTTTCAGATCAACCCTCGACCTCTACTTTGCCACAAACTCAGAAGTCAGTTGACTCAGGTAGAACTCGCTGAGCAGTATTTTGAAGCAAGTAGCAGTATAGTATCGTGACGGCGTCTGTTACGAATGTAAAATTTACAACCCGTCAAATATAGCTAGAGACTTGGTCTTCCCGATATTACGCTCCACCTCCGATGCGCACTAGACAGCACCAAAATTTCATCATTAGTATTTCGTGACAACTGGACGCAAGGTGTTGTACAGTCTGCGACAAAAACTATTCTGTTGAGTTTCTTTTTCCTGTACTGGAAGGAAGTTGTTACTGATTTGAGTGTTTAAATAATTAACATGGATTTTCAATCAAGATTAAAAGGCAGTTTTGTCTGGACAAACGAGGGAGGTTATAGCGAATGTAATCTTTTTTATGCAGCGAGAAGCGATACAAAATCAGCCTATTAAGGATTTAAAAAAGTACAGGAGCGCGCTGCCCTAGCTACGGGAGTAAGCTTAAGCACTATAAAACGGATCTCTCGTGAAATGAAAAATGTGGAAGAAGGTGGTGCTACGTCATTTTCGACGCCTAACAACAAACGAATGAAATGTGCCCCAAAATCAAACTTGGATGATCTTGACAGAAGTCTACTTCGCCGTATAATAATCAATTTTTATGTCACCGAAAAACGAGTCCTTACCTTGCGACACACACACAAACTTAGAGAAAACAATATTTATACAGGGTCACATGAAACTTTGAGAAAAGTGATGAGGGATATGGGATTTCGATGGAGGAAAACGAAGAATAACAGGAAAATCCTAATGGAAAAACCGTATATACAAGTGCTTCGGAGAAGTTTTCTCAGGAATATTAAACATTATAGGGAAGAAAATCGGCCCATAATTTACATGGATGAGACTTATATTCATTCCTCTCATACCCATGCCAAAAACTGGGGAGACAATACCATCGAAGGTTTCCACAAGCCAGTGTCCAAAGGGCCGAGGCTAATTATTGTTCATGCAGGCGGCGAAATGGGTTTCATAAACAACGCATGTTTACAATTCAAATCTGGTACTAAGTCCGGAGATTATCATAGCGAAATGAACTATAGTAATTATAAAAAGTGGATTCAGGAAAACCTTATTCCTAACATACCAGCCCGTAGTGTATTGATTATAGACAATGCACCGTATCACAATGTCCAACTACAAAAATGTCCCACAATGGGGTGTAGAAAAGATGAAATGAAGGAGTGGCTGAGACAGCGGAACATTTCATTTTCGGAAGACATGATAAAAGCAGAATTATATGGCATAATAAACATGCACAAACCTAGTTATAAAACCTATAAGATAGATCAGATCATGAATGATGCAGGTCACTCTGTCTTAAGACTACCACCCTACCATCCGGACTTAAATCCGATTGAATTAGTGTGGGCTGCTCTAAAACGATATGTGGCAGATAAAAATGTGGACTTTAAATTCCAAAATGTTGAGAAATATTGTGAAGAATTTTTCTCCAAATTTACCCAAGAGGAATGGAAAAAATATTGTGAACATGCTATTTCTTTCGAGCATTATTTCATGGAAAAGGAACCAGCTCTAGATTTAATTGTCGATGAAGTTATAATAAATTTGCAGGAAGATACTGACAATGACAGCGTGGATTCTCTGGAAAATAGCAGTTCCGAGACAGAAGGTGAACCTCTTGAACGCCAATTGTAATCCCGTTTTTTTGTGGTACGTAAAAAATTGAATTATCTCAAGTTTTTTGTGTAGTTAAGTTTTATTTTTGAACAAAGTAATTTGTTTATATTTGGAAGGAACTTTATTGTTATTCAATAACTATCGAAATGTTTTCGTCATTACACTTTTTAAAAATACATACATCTTTGCCTACAACAAATATGTAATTTGACAAATAAGTTCGATTTCAGAGGTTTCTTTACAAATTAACACTCTCGCTGCCACTGATATTTGTGTCATTTGACTTCCATATGTCACGAACAGTTTCAGATACTAATACTTACGTTTTATCCTGAAAACACTTAAGAAAAACATGTTAGTTTTTATGGCACCATTTTCAATTATAGGCCAAAACTGGTACCAAACTTTGTTGCTTCTAGGCCATTAGAAACAATTATCCATAAGAAATATTAGCAGCGTGTATAGCAAGCCATACACACCGGCTAAAATATTGAGATGCCCGGTATATTGACAGCGATACACGTGGCGGCGCCGGCGAGAGTGTTAAGATCACATTCTGCAAACTTGTTGCACGGAGTGTACCAACGAGGCGACGAGACACAGCGCATCATGTATCTCTTTTTCTCCAAATGCGTTCTCACTTAATTTTCTACGCAGACGGCAACATTTCCAAGTCTCTAGCTATATTTGACGAGATGTACACAACTATATCTCTTTTCGCGAATATATAACGTAAGTTCGCAATAAAACATCAATCGGAAATCTCAATTGAATTCTTCAAAAAAGTTATTTTGACTTATTATTTTAAGGTCAAGGAATATTCATAAAGTAACGGGTGCAATACTTCGATTTTGTCAAGAGTTTTAACTTCATTATAACAAAGACCCTTTCAAGGATTTAACAATAACACACCTGATTATTAGTAAGTCTCTATCCGATCATTCACTCATTTCTGTATTGCCAACAAAAATACTAAAAAGTACAAAAGCAACGTAAAAAACATTTTCGATTACAATATTAAAAAGCTTATGGAAGAACCTGTACCTACTTATTTATTTCAGTATTTGCTGAAGGGGTGATGTATGCCAGAGGCGGACCTACCAGTCGGAGCTTGGCTGAAGCGAGCCTCAGATCACCGGACAGCTACCCAGAAAAAAATTGATAACAATAAATTATAATTTTTTAATAAAAAGACTTTTTAATAATTAGCCTGTTTTTTATTGTCTTTTTAATGCCGCACTAAAGACCTTACGAATGTATTATAAAGACGTCTTTAAGATGCACAGTTTTCGTAACAAACGTCGTCTTTACAACGACTTTAAGATACAGTGTGTCCCAGACTCGCTTCTCTATACAGGGATCTCGGTTCCTGTTATACCAGCAAAGTTTAAGTGGGGAAAGTTTTAGACGAAACTTAGTGCATTCGATAGCCGGCTTCAGATTTACGATCGGTCAATTGGTTTTGGAAATATCTGCGAAAATGTCGAATTTTGTTTTTTGTCAGTAAAATCGAAATGGATAATTTGACAGCTGTCAAAATGTGACATTATTCGGACATTTTTTTAAGGCAAATAAGATAGCTTGTATTACATGTCTCAATCGTCTTCTGTTTTCAAGCAACCCGCCTCAACATTCATTTTTCTTTTGGCCGCCATATTGGATTTTTGGATATTTGGAAAGAGCGTAAAATTTCCAGCCTAGTGGTGTCTCCCGTGCATAAAAGATTGGAGTATCGAAATATCATCACACGTAACGTTATGTATCATTTTTTTTCTAAGGAGGCCATGATTTATTTGTCAGAAAATAAAATAACGCATTTTTTTCATCTAAGGAGGTTCTGTCTTTGACGTTACATAATTCAAAGTATTAAAATTGTTTTAATAAGTAATAGGTACGTTTTCTCTCATTAAAATCATAAATCTGACAAAAAATGGTCGTTAATCCCTACTCAAATGAATAGTTTGACATGTTAGCGCTGTACTTGCAGTCACACAGAAACGCCGATATTACCTCAGCAAGGTACTTGGGGATGTACCTTGAACAACGGCAGCCTCATGCAACCCAATGTAGAAAAATTGTTAATTTAGCCTTTGACCAACGTAGAAGCGAATACAATATTGAAAATGAAAATTTCGACAGAAACATTTTACAAGCTGTCAACAAAATCCCTAGTGCATCAGTAAGGAGTATAGAAATCGGTGTGTCAAAATGAACAGAACAGAGAGTTCAAAGACTTGAGGAAACTGATTTTCCAAGGCGAATGCGCTTCCGTGAGGGGTATACTAGGAAGTCTAATGAAAATCCCGATTTTGTAAATCATGTCTCGTGGTCCAATGAGAGAAGGTTTAAAAATTGTGGAGTTTTTAATTAGCAGAGAGGCGTCTACAGACCAGATTTGGAACTAACGTTTGGTGTGTGGTCATTGGTAATTTAATCGAACTTACCTTTTTTGGACCATTTTTGTTTAAGTACAACCTAATCGGAGAAAGGTACCTAGAGCTTTTGCGAAACTAGGTTGTGCCGGCTTTATGGGCTAGTCTAACCGAAGATGAGTTTAGAAGATCCTGGTTTCAACAGGATGGATGTCCGACCCACAACACCATTCAAGTCAGGAACTTCTTAGCAGAACGGTTTGATGAAAGAATAATTTCATTAAATGACTCAATATCTTGGCCTCCTAGATCCCGTGAACTTTCAATCTTAGATTTCTACCTCTGGGGTCACGCAAAGAATGAGATCTATGAATTTGATCCTCCCGCGACCATAGAAATCCTGATACAAAGAATTTTGAGCACAGTTAGAAACATTTAACAGAAATACATTAGCTAAGGTTGTACGAAAAAGTCACCAGTTGTCAAAAATAATTGAATACAAATGGACGTTATTTTGCACATCTGTAAATGCCCACTTACATAATTAGATATTACAGTTTTGTAAAATTACGACGATTTTTCTGACTTGTTTTTATTAACACACTCATAGTTGGGAATTTGTTCCAAAACATTTGATTTTATATTTTATAGGCCTTGCTTTTTACATCATAATATAAATAATCATATTTCTCATGCTTTAGCACTAAGTTTGTTCATATGAAATTATATACTAAATGCTATCTGACACTAACCTTAATTTTGTACGAAATTTGGCACAAAATTTCGGATCGCGACAGAGGGCCTTTGCTCATTGTTATTTTCTGACAAATGAATCATAGCCTCCTTAGAAAAAAACTAATACATAACATTACGTGTGATGTTTAGGTGGTACTCCAATCTTTTATGCACTTGTGAGACATCACTAGACTGTAAATCTTGAGGCGGGTTGCTGGAAAACAAAAGACGATTGAGACATGTCATACAAGCTATCGTAACGTATTTTTCTTAAAAAAAATGTCCGAATAATGTAACATTTTGAGAGCTGTCAAATTAACCGTTTTGGATTTACTGGCAAAAAACAAATTCCGCCATTTTCGTTTTTTCGCTGATATTTCTCATAATTTCAAAATCAACTGATCGATCGTAAATCTGAAGGCAACTATCCAAAGCACTAAGTTTCCTCTAAAACTTTCCCCAGTAGTCTTTGCTGTAGGTATGTATAACAGAAGCCGAGATCCCTGTATAGAGAAGCGAATCTGGGACACACTGTATAGTTGTGCTATTTGTGGAGCGAACAGTTGCCTACAATTTGTATAATTAGCTTTTATAGGTTTTTAAAATATAGGAATGATCGATCGCTTACACATTAAAAACTCGCTGTGTATGTTGAAGTATCCTAGCTGAAGAGAAAGTGTTTTAGGTTCGGTTGAGGTACGTGGCAACACCGACTTTCATCTACTGGGGCAATTTACATTGGACTTTCTCCGCCGAAAAGGCGGCCGTTTTGACAGAAAAGTTTGATAGCTGTTTGTTATCTCAGCTATGGTTTTATATTCTAGGTTTGTAAATAACTTCAAAAAAGATAGATCTCATGGCTCCCATTCTATTTAAAAAACGTTCCAAGATGTCGACCATCCGCCCTATTGAAATTTTCAACTGCCACTTTTAGGCTAAAAAAGTATATATGCAATAATTTTATCAACGTGAATTTCAGCTAGCTAACTTGAATTCTGAAATCGTTCAAAAATAAGTGGGGGGGGGGGGGGGGGGGGGTTGAAAACCACTGTAATTCAAAAATACTCCATTGACGAGCAATCATACGAAGACGTCTCTTGCTTCATCTGCTAACCGCTCTTCATGTTCTTTCTCCTCTTCTAATTCTCTCTGGATTCTTATCCATTCGTTGCGCGTTGCTTGCTCCTCAGCTCTGAGGATCATGTCTATAACAGCAGTTCGAGCCTCTTCCTCTATGAATTTGTGCTAAAAATTGAAACAAATACGGTTTTCTATAGAAGGTGTTTTTACAACATATAGCAAAAGTTCAAGGTACGATTCTTTGGATTAGTCTTAAGATTATATTTTGTCTTTTAACGAGATTTGCAAAATACCGCTTTGTTTTTCCTTCACAACTTTAATTCAATGAAATTTTCACAGTATAGTAAGTACACAGCTTAGATAACAATCGGCTGTGAAACCCTCCTGGCAGTGTCAAAAACGGCCGCCATTTCGGCGGAGAAGTTCGAATGTAAATTCCCCCAGTACAGAGAACAACGATGAAAGAGGTTCTAGTGCTCGGCAGCAGCCGGTGTTGCTTCTTGTCATGCAAGCGGCCGCAGATAGTCTTTGCAATCGTAAAAAGGTAATATTTCGATATGATACAGTGTACCGTCTGCCTCTGATCACTAAAAACTTCCGTATTTGTACTGGAGGAACTTACATTCGACTTTCTGCGCCGTGGCCGTTTTTGACACTAACACGAGAGTTTCATAGCTGATTGTTATTTAAGCTGTGGTAAGTATATCATTGCACAACAAGATGGTGTATGTAGTTTAATCATATTATCAAAATTTCCCCGAAATTTTTCTGGATGAACTTTTTATTCAATAACAAAAATTGAGAAAACGTGTTTTTTGGGATTCAATCTAAAGTGTTGGCAGAAACGAAAAGACCATTCAAATAAGATTCTTAGGTTTTTACGAGACCTACAAAATGAGGCAACACATAAAAAGATCCGACTAATAGTAAAAAAGTTATGGCCAAAAACCGGGACAAAATGCAGGTTTTGGCACTTCGTAATGCGACGGTAATTTCACGTAGTTATTTGAAATTCTTCAAAACCGTAGGCTTCATACTTCTAAGTAACCACAACAACGTTGGAGTAAATTGGTCAAGTAGTATTCAAGAATTTCTAATGGTTTATCCCAAAACACCTGCTTTCCGGCAAACATTACTAGTTTAATGGGCAATATACTGTGTTCGTCCAAATAAATAACTACACGAGTTTACCCTGGCGATATGAATCACAAACCATTTCGAAAGATAAATGTTACTTTTATGCAAAAAACAAAGAGTCCTTTTTGCATAAAAACAAATTCAAACATTTCGTATGTCTAACTGAACAGATGTGCTACGAAAAGCTTATGATATTATACACATTTTATAACAAAGCCGAAGTGTCCATCACCTTTTGTTATGAAGAAAAACATTTTTTTTCAAGATTTCTTCATACTCTTGTGTATACACAGGGTGTTAATAAAGTATGTAGACAAACTTTAATTTAATTCAACCATCGAATCTTTGGTCAATTTGAAGACTAAATGTTCATATCAACATGGGTCTGTAACGGTTTTCTTTTCGAGCTAGAGCACTATCACTAAAGAAAACGAGTAATGTTCCAAATATTTCTATGAATAATGAAACGTATTTATTCAACAGTTGATATAACCTATGATATATTTTGCATGTTTTACAAGTTGCTGAGGCTCAATGTGAACGTTACTCAGAGCCATTCCGTAAACGAAATGCATACCTGTCATTTCTTCATTACTGACCTGGACCATTATGAGAATTAGTAATCACCAAAACTTAGAAATATTTGGAATCTTAGAATGACCAGACAAGAAAACAAACAGCTGTCGAATTATTTGAGAAAATAAATTAATTCAATTGTTGTTGGGTACGTCATAGGTGTCTACATAAGCACAATGCTTAAATATTAAAAGTATTGCGATCAAAACAAATCAATGTCATGCAATTTTTTCAAAAAATATTGGATAAAATTATAAGTATATATCTACGTACATGGAGTGTCTGAAAACAACTGTAAATCATGTGATATTCACCACAGGGCACACTTATTAAATTAAATTAAAAGACGTTCCATTCTTTTATAATTTTTTAGAACAATATCATTTCTTTTAGTGCTAATATGCTCTAGCTTGAAAACAAAGCCGTTGCGGACCCATGTTCATATGGAAATGTCTTCAAGTTGACCAAAGGTTCGATGGTTAAAGTTTGTCTACATACTTTATTAACACCCTGTATATTTAGACCTGAAATTTTTACAAGGTCACATGTAAGCCTTAAAGTTTATAAAAAAATATTTTATACTGAAATGCACTGCACTGTTTATAAAGTTAGCCCGCAAACTGAAGATAATTATGTTTCAATATGTCTAGTTAGTATGTAGCATGTGCTAAATGGGTACATTATTGATGACTGCATGACTCGAATAAGTAGGTTACGTAATCCGGTTTTTTTAGGAAGAAAAATAATTCCCTGGTATTAATATAGTATTCTTTTGTTTTCGAAATCTCGTACGATTAAAATTGGAAAATAAACTCGAGATAACAGAAAAACAGTAGACAAATATCAACTAATTGTTTAGAACTGACCGTCTGAAAAATTAGCTAAAACGCTCCGTACTACATTATTTAAAGTTTCAGTATTCTATCTTGTCTAGTTTTCGAGATTATTCTAATTATTTATAACAAATTTGACGTACAGTCAACGTTCGCTTGACATTTGTCAGTGTCAAGTATACTATAAAAATCCAGTAGACTAAGACGCGTCGTCGTGTAGTGGAAAGGAGTAACGGTTGCAGGACGGACGTCCGAATCGACAAAGATCCCTTTTTTCTGTATTTTTCTTTTAATTTGGTGATCAAACAGCTTTTCGCATGCCGTAAACAATGTAAGCTTGCAAGCAGGAACCAGAGGTATACTTTATCTGAAGTCACTTGAAATAGCATAAAAACCTTTGGTCGGCGCGTCCTTTGTAATTTCATGACGTATCATAGCCGTGCGGTCATTTATTTAGAACGATAATAATAATGTTTTTATATCACAATAAATGGATTTTACTATCTTCTTATTTTTTTGATTTGGGATAAAAAATACTTATATTGGGAGTTTAATTTATGTTGACTGAAAGTTAAGAAATGGAAAAATTACAGAATTCCAACGTTTGACATAGGCAAATATTTACATAGCAGGCATATATAAAAAGGTATATAAAGACTTACATTATAGGTATTTATATATCATCCTCGCCTTCGGAGCTGTCGCTAGAGTCATCTTGTAGAGGAATTACAACGGGATTTACAGGAGGCAAAACACAATATTCATTTTCTTTTTCAATAATATGCCTAGAACACTGCTTCCATAGGTCTGTGGCAGCAATATGAGATACTGCATCTCTTATTGTGGCCAATAGCGATTCACTTAATTGAGGGGTCTGATTATGTTTTCTTACTTTTTTTTTAAAGCAGCCCAGACCAACTCAATCGGGTTAAAAATGCAGTAATAGGGAGGTAGACGTAATACTTCATGGCCATTTTGCTGAAGCAGATTGTCAACAACATACTCTTTTTCAAATTTTTGTCTTTTAATATGATCCAATAATATGGCTTTGGTTGATTTTTGTGGTATTTCCATTCCCTTATCCTTCATAAAATCAATAATGTCTTGTTTTTTTTGTGCCTGTATTCGGAATTTTGTTTTTCTGTCGGGAATGGTATGGCGCATTGTCCATAATAATCACTGAATTTGGGGAAATGTTTGGTATTAACTGCTGCTCTATCCACTTTTCAAATAAGTCGGAGGTCATGTCCTCATGATAGTCGGCACATGATTCTTTGATATTTTTGGCAGATAACAGCAAGGCATTAGGTATAAATCCATTTTCACTGCCAGCATGGAGAATAATGATTCGTTTTCCACGGTTGCATGGTGCATTTAAAATGCACTTGTTGCTGTCGTCAACCCAGCCGTACTGCATAACATCATGGGTATTATATCACGTTTCATCCAGGTAAATCAGATTTCTTTTCTGCTCTCTATAGATTTTAACTTTGTGCAAAAATTCTTGGCGCAATTCAACGATTCGAGACGACTCCATAATCACCATTCTTTTATCTAATTTTTTGTATTGAAAAACACACAGTTTTACAATACAGTGCAGTGAGTCTAAGCATTTGTAATTATAAAAATCTTCAGGATAATCTTTTAATTGATCCCGTATCATTTCCAACGTGGGCACCAAATTTTCTTTATAAAATCCGTATATTATACGACGAATATCTTCCTGAAAACCCACGTCTATTCTCTTTAATTTTTGCCCTATGCGCTTTCTGTGGAAGGAATGGTTGACTACATCTCCCCTTTTTATAACCCGATAAATGGTAGACCGACTGATTTTTGTCAGGATACAAATTCTGTTTAAAATTTGATTTTGCGAGGAATCTGGATTTTCGTTTTTCAGACAATCATACATATTTAGGATTACTCTTTGGGTCTGTTCCTCTAAATCTTTATGAAAGAATTCTGCCTGCACAGGTTCATCAACCATCTCCTCGTGGCTTGGAGCATTTTCCCAAGGTCTCCAAAGAGCCATATTTAGGACACACAAGAACAATCAACACAACAATTAAATCAACAAGTAAACTGAGTATTCAAAAGTCAAAAACACACAAACTAATAAAATCTATGAAAAAACACGGACAGACTAAAATAAACACGTTTATTCACCGCTACACGGCACTGGCTAAACTGTTTCAATTTTCAGTAGCCACTTGTTCCGAGCTCTGAAATACACGATTTCTCATTGGCTATGTCCACGCATAGGCGTGCTTTACTCCACGTGGACCGGTGAAACTGCCTTTGATCTCTTATACGGGGGATATTTGCTGCGAAATTTGGCGATTTTTGCAGCAACAGAGCGTGTTAAATATAGATATATAAAACGCACCCGGTATTTCACAGTGTTTCAAGTGACTTCAGATAAAGTATACACGTATGATTCTTTAGAAGAAAAAATTTAACGTCTATCTTTCGGTATAAAATGCCCGAAAATGAAATGAACGAATCCTGTATATGGCTCAATAAATTAGTAGTGATAGGTGTTGTAAATACCTAAAAATCTTATTTGAAGAGTTTTTTCGTTCCTGCCAACACTTTCGATTGAATCCAAAAAAAAAACACGTTTTCTCAATCTCTCGTTATCGAATACAAAGTTTTCACACAAAAATTGGTGTACCCATTTTATGCCTCCATGTTTTAAATACCCCCTTAAACAACTTGCATCAATGAAACCAAGCTTTACAATTATTTCGCGAACCAGGGGTATTTTCGTCTACTATGGTCTACTATAGCAAACAATATTGCTAATTTATTTAACACCCTGTATAAAAATGGACCATAAGTAAGGTTTTTTAAACACCATATCTTTTATCTGAAAAAGTGAAATCTTGATTTCGTTGAACCGTTTTTGAGAGAATCAGCCTTATTGCAGTACCGTTCCATCGAGTACAACGCTGTTTCCGATATTCTGGGTGGCCCAACGAAAAGGTCGCACCCCTATTTGTGACTCTTCTGGTATATTTTGTGAAAAACGCTCGGACACGTCAATTTTGAATTCTAGGGGGACGTCTTTTCATCTATAGCCGTACAATACAGGGTGATCCAAAAATAAGATATTGCGTTACACTTAAGATTTTTAAATGGAAACCCCCATTTTTTTTCAATTTTTAGATTTTCTATGAAGTTTTTAGTGACTTTTGTATAATAAAGTTTATACCTATATTCAATCGTTGTGAATCTATTTGAGTTTATAATAAAATTCGACTAAGTTAACTTAATATTAATAGTAATGGAATGCACGGCAAAATATAATAATCATGGATACCAGCAAGAACATTTAGCATCAGTCAGTGTCATCGTATGTCATAGAAAAAGTTTCTCTGTAATTTCAAATTGTTAAGTTACAACAACTAGGTAGTTGTGATAAATATTGAACAATGACTTATTCAAGAAAGGGTAGAAATAACAAAACTGTTTTACCAAAATGGGAGCATTGCAAGAGCGGTTGCCCGGTTTATGTATGTTATGTAATTGTTGTAGTTTTTTAAAAGAATGTAATTGTAGCAATCTTGCTAAATAGATCTTAAACAAACAAACAAAAAGACATAACAGCAGACACTTTATAATAGACCATATAACTTTTTCTATACGGTCATACAAAGAAGATAGGTGAGAGATAAGTTTTTAGTGGGGCACCCTGTACTTAAAGATGTTTCAAGACACAATTATCATCGCTTTTCATTACTGAATTATTAATATCGCAAATATATGTACCCATCTTTCTCTAGCTATTCGGTCTCTCTCTTCACATAGCTGATTGATCTCGATCGTTTGTATATCGGACATCTCCTGGTTATACCGGTATTTGAACAGCCAATGACCTAGATAGTGTATCGGGTCCTTTGGTTGAACAGTTGTAATCTCGGCCAGAGCTAACGTTAAAGGTATGCCCAGATTCTCTTTCAGGTAGTTTACGTCTTCTGAGGTCATTCGGCTGCTGTCTCCTGAACTTTTTGATTCGGCTGTAGATGATCATGACAGTACAGTTGAGGTAGAAAAATATTCACATTGTATTCGTAAATATCGGTCAGTATTCCCCATATAGCATCATATTCTACAGAAATCTTACATTGAAATAATGGTAATGTGTCAAGATACTTACAAAATACTGCTGCAATATTTCTGAAAGGTATATACAGGGTGACTTCGAAGTTGAGTCATTTATTTTAACAGTGAGTGGATCTGATCAAAAGAAATGTTTTTTTCCTTTAACATTTTTCTGGTAAAATCAAAGTATAATCCGCCTTATCGGTTTATCGCATCGGAAACAAAAAAGCGAAAGAATTTGAAACGCTTATCACGATGTTTTTACTACAATTTTATTCAGTTGTATTCAATGTGTCAGTCGGGAACGCGTGAGTGAATAGTGGTGTTTGTTGCGTGGCTCAAACGAAATAAAAAATGGCACATGTTTACGAAAATGCTGAACTTGTGGACATGATTCTTATTAACGGGGGGGAGTCTTTACAAAATGCTACCGCGGCATCACGGATTTATGCGGATCGGTTTCCCAATCGAGTGCAACCAACCCCTCGTGCCTTTGTTAATGTAGTACAAAGGGCTCGTGAATCAGGTGACTTAAGACCTCACAGGGGAGCGCCTGCCGGTGCTCCAAGACCGCACGATCAAATACAGGTCCGCACTGAAATACTTGTCGGGAGGATACTTTATAAAACAAAGTAACATTTTTTTTTTTATTTTTGCACAAATATGTTGGTTTATCTTCCTTCTACAATCAGTATCTGAAAATTAATGACTCAACTTCAAAGTCACTCTCCCTGTATATATATATATATATACTAAGTGACATATAAATCCGAACACATAGTTTAAATGGTTTTATTTTAATAAAATTTTGTATAAGTACTTAATGAAGCATAATAAGTAAATGATAAAAATTTCAAAATGATTGCACTGCTTTAAAGCCCTTTGACCTTTAATAATGTGTGGATGCACCCTGATGTGCTACGCATTCTCCAACGCGCCTAGGCATGCTTCTGATCAGGTGGTCAATGTCCTCCTGTGGTATCTCATTCCAGGCAACCACCAACTCCTCTCGAAGTGCTTCTAGAGTCTGAGGAGGACGTTGCAAATTGAGCAATCTTCTACCCATCATATCCCACACGTGCTCAATTGGGGATAAGTCGGGAGATCTTGGTGGCCATGGTAACAATGTGACATCATTATGTTGAAAGAAGTCTATTGTGACTCTTGCAACATGTGGTCGGGCATTATCTTGTTGGAAAGTTGGATCTGCCAGGGTGTCAAGATAGGGTAAAAGATGGGGTTCTAGAACTTCGTGGATATAACGCTGCGCGTTCATGTTACCTCTGATGAAGATTAAAGGTGACCTGGAACCAAAAGCTATAGCACCCCAAACCATAACTCCAACAGTGTGATGAACATGTATTTCAACAAAAAACTGTGGATTCCTCCTTTCACCACGTCGCCTTCTAACCCTGGCACGACCATCGTGCATGCCTAAACAAAATCGAGACTCGTCACTAAAGACAATACTGTTCCATTCCTGATCCCAGAGTGACCGTTGTCTGCACCACTCAAGGCGATTACGTCGGTGTTCTCGAGTTAAAGGGAGGACCCAGTGTGGCCGGTATGAAAACAAGCCAAAACTTCTCATTCGTCGTTAAACACTTCGCATGCCAATAGGTCTTCCGTGTTCTGCAAACCATTCATTTGCAATGGACCTGGTAGTGGAGAAACGGTCCCTTAGGGCCAATAATCTTAGGCGGCGTCCAGTGCCCCTTGCTCTTTGCGTACGGCCTTCTCGAAGCTATGCCTGACAACACCTAACCACAGTGTCTACACTTCTTTGCACTATAACTGCAATTGCCCGAAAAGAAAGTCCAGCTTCCCGAAGTCCCACTATACGGCCCCTATCAAACTCACTAAGTTGACGAAATCGTACAGGTCTCCGTACTCTAGGCATCGTAACCGATCGTAAAGGATGTCAAGAACCAAAATCCGCCAACGTTGATTCTTTACTGCGGCTGAAATATTCATTTTTAGAGCGTTAGTGAATTAAAAAAAAGCAGTATAGAAACCGGTATGTCCAACTGATAAGGCTGAAATTTTTTTCAATTTTTATTTACAGTAAGATAAATACATTCACCAACTTTTATTAAAATAAAATCATTTAAACTGGGTGTTCGGATTTATATGTCACTTAGTATATATAGGTGAAAAATTAAAGCTTCCGCCTTTTGTTGGGTACTTCGACCAAAATTTAAGCAAGGAGGACTCTTTATACTTTTTTATTCTCTCTAGCTTTCAATGGACTTTGCCATCATCATCAGGAGAGTAGTATGTAACGTAAACAGAAAAAGCTCTTACAAACATAGGTCCAGAAATGCTTCTCTTTCAAGATACAGGGTGATAAACTATTTTAAAAAATCGGTTTTTCCTAAATACACCTACATTGACAAAGTTTCATTCAATTTTGTTCAAATTTATCAGAAGTATTAAAGGCTGCAAGTTGCTAATTTACTCGTAGCTCCAATTAGATTGAAATTATTAAATCTAGTTGGGTCCAGAAAAGCACCGCAACCAAAGTCTTTGACAAAAAATGTGTGCGAGTTAAAAAAACTTTTTTTGGGTCCTGAGTTTCTTTCATATCTCGCTTCGATTGCGAGATAAAAAATAAAAAGAACTTCATGTTTTTGATACTTAAGTTGCACGTCTTTTGAATTTCTTTGCTCAGATTATACCCTAAAACAAATAAACATAAACTATTGACGTGAAGTTATTTATTGTTGCAATGTTTTGTAAGTGGCGTTGCACATTGGTAACGCTGGAAATTAAAAAGATCGAACCGGTTTTTTTTTAAACCGCACTAAACTTTTATTTCATTGAAAATATTTAACAGTAAATAACACGAGGTTTATAATAGTTGCTGAAAATGCAATCCTTCAACCTCAATGCAAGCATTTGCTCATCTTAACATTGATTGCCAAACTCGTTGAAATATTCCCGGCGTATGTCTTATCTGATAACATGATCTCGTATCCGTTGGGTTAATTGTTCTTTAGTGTTGACTGAAAATTTTGTAAACGAGGGACTTGAAATGCTCCAAAGAAAAAATCTGACGGATTTAAATCCTGTGGCCTGAGTGGCCATGACTGTGGACCTGCGCGCCCGATCTAGTTTTCTACAAAAGTTGCATCCAAAAATTGGCGAGCTACTATGCTGAAGAGAGGTGTTCCTCAAACTTCGAGCGGGACATTTTCTAGTAGTAGTTCAGGTAAAATAAATTCCAAAAAATGATGATACTCTTGACTATTTAATCTCGGGAATAAAGAATGAGGTCCAATGAGATAATCACCTAGAATACCAATCACGGAAAACTGTTGTTGATAATTAACGTCTGTAACCGCATTAGGATTTTCTTTAGCCCAAATATGATTATTGTGAGAGAAAAACACGATTCATCAGACATAAAATACGGGATAGGAATCTTTGAAATGCTACCTGTTGTTGCAAAAGTCAAGTACAACAAACGACTACGTTGGGGAAAATTGGCAAACGCTTGAACATGCTGTATGTGGTGAGGATACAGTTGAAATTCCCTTAAAATCTGTCATACAGTGAGGTGAGAGATGATTAATTGTTCTGCAATTATGCGTGTATTTGTATCGTGGCAACGCTCAACTTCATATAAAACTGCCTCCTCCATCTCCACTGTTCTTTCCAAATTACAGCAGCCGACCTCTGAAAGGTGCCTGATTAGCACATGCTTTCATGTATTCTCACAGATGCTTGTCTTTTTAGTATGGTGCGATGAGTATATTGTGACAAAAAGGCGTGATCTTTGGGCGAGTCCCCTACTCGCCAGCGCTTAATGGCCGCGAACCACGACCGCACAAGCCGCTTGGCGACGTCTGTGAGGACCATGGCAGCGACTCGCGTTCTAGATCGACGCGAAGTGACCTCCAATATTCTAGATGTCGCTTTGTGGTTCAGCCGGCCTTTCTCGAAGCAGCAATTGGGACTATATATAACTCGGCGGCCGGGAGATGGAAGCAGAGAGTACAGATTACACCAGTGAAGAGCGGAGTGGAGTATAGTGCAGTCAATGGCGACATAAGAATTAGTCAGACATAAATAGTGGTGTATATAAATGTTCTATCAAGTTAAATAAATTAGTGCATTTCTTTTTGTGGAATCCAGTGTTTTAATCCACACCCAAAAGAACCCAGAAAAACGCTACAATATCTTTCTTGAAAAATGCACCTAACCGCTGTAGAATTGTCTCCAGCCATTCCATAAACAAAGTGCATATTTGCCATCTCTGTATTTGTAAATTGAACCATTTTCCAATATTAGTAATTTTATAGCTTAAGACTCTTAAAAGCACTTCAAATAATTACGATCATTACTTACGCACTGCTTTAAGTAAGTTATGTCAAATTCAGATCTGTTTGAGTAGCATTTATTTTTCCTCTCATGGCACTCTTAATTTCAGTTACTTTTGAAACATTGCTATAAATTATTGCGCTATTCGATTATTTTATGTTATTTTGTTTTATCGAAAATAGTTTTAAATATGTGCGAAAAAATTCAAGATATGACTTTTTTCTAATGTTAATTGCTTAATTAGTTTGATGGTTTCAATGTTTTATTATGTTATTGTCCTAGGAACATGCAAAAAGTGCTTTTTATTTTTTATCGCGCAAACTAAGCGAGATATAAAAGAAGAAAAAAGAAATTGAAAAATTGAAAAAAGTCAGTGGCACACAAATTTTTTGTCAATGATATTGGTTAGGGTGTTTTCCGGGACGCCACTGGACTTGATAATTTCAATATAAATGGGGCTAAATTAGCCTTTTACTGCACTTAGTACCCTTGCTAAATTTAAACAAAATCAACTGAAAGGTTATCAAGATATTTAGGAGAACCCGATTTTTTAGAAAATTTCGCCCTGTATCTTGAAAATCAAGCATTTCTT